TTCCTATGCTACATGATAAAACATATTGATATCAACCTATTTTCTAATTGTAGCCAGCATCTTTTTACCTAACTTATTTAAGCTTTTATCTTTTGTATCTACTGGTTTAGTTGAATCACCTAATATCGACTTATACAAATCTTGGCAGTATAAATTAAATAATTTGATGTTGTCAATTTTATTATGAAATCTATATCACCCTCCATAATCTCAAATAGAATTTACTTCTGTCCTGAATTATTTTTGTATAGATGTCTCAAAAATAACCCTTGCTCTGATACCACTTGTTGGATTTAAAGTAATAAATATAACAACACAAAAGTAATATATAGCAATAAACCCATAGCAATAGACAATAATCAATAATCAATAACATAAAAAAATAAAGCATACCAAGATTTATGTGAAAACCCTCTAATGTAGAAGAAAAAATCACGGATTACCAAAAATCTTCATTATCAAATAATAGATATAAAGTTCTTCTCTAACTAAAACTAAAGCTAATCAACAATTAAAGAGATAATTGAAGAAATCTTACCAAATAGGTGACTCAATAAATACACTATAAATTTATTTCTAGAGAACTTCAAACTTAATCTTCATCATTTAGAATGTAAAACTCTGAATCATAAATTTATTGACAAAATTTCAACTCAATTGAATTACGAATAGATTTTTGTTCAACCAGCCTTCCCTTTTTCCTTTTCTCTCTATATTTCTTGGTTTTTTTCTTTCTCTTAATTTTAGCACCACCTTTTGTTTCTCTATTATACAATCCCCTTTTATTATTTAAGGCTTTAATAGAAAAAGAACTAAAGCCTGTGACCTTTGATTGTTACAAAAGAATACAGGACCTCTCATTCCTAACATTACTAAAGATAGAAATCAATTTCAAACATCAAAATTAAATGTTCATTGCTTATAGTAACTCTTACCACCAAGCAAAAAAGCTTAACTCTATCTACACCTATTTTAGCCAAATTCCAACTTCTATGAAATCAAATCCAACCATTGCCATAATACTAACAAAAAATTATTCCTCAAACTTTCCAAAAACCAAAGTAAAGCACATATATTAAAATATTAAAAAAATATTTTCCCTAATCTTGCCCATATCAAATCATCCTTACTCTTTTGCATCGGCAACTGTAATGTTATTGAAAGTTAGGAGCGACGATCAAGGGTGGCCCATCCATAACTCTCCTCATTTTGTCATAGTTCCATGCTAAGAAGGCTATTCCCATTAAGCCTCTCCTACGCAGAGCTTCAAGTTATAATAACACAAACAATATTAAAAACTCTAATGCTTTTATCGACAAACATCGATGGGTTGTTGAGGATGGGGTAGAACGAGGAATTTAGGATAGTTTTTCGATGATATAAATGATTAAAATGAAGGCAGCTATGGTGAAGGAGTTCTCTCTCATAAGATTTCAGTTTTATGGCTTTTAGGGAGATTTTCGAAAATTGCAAAGATAAAAACCTAGGTAAAGGATAGGGAAAGATACGACTGAAGTTTGGTGGCTAATAGTGGTGGCAGTGACAATAGATCTAGGTTTTACTCATATTGGTTCTTGGGGGGTTTTTTGGAAGGAAAAGAAGGCGTTTGGAGATATCAAAATCATTAGAGTTATTTAGAAGTTTGAAAATAACAAAAAAGCAAAATTTGGGGTGAAACCATTATGGGCGAGCTACAGACGACAGCCGTGACAGCTAGAATCTAGTTAGAGACTTGGCAGCTAGGAATGTTGAGTTCTATCGAGAGTTTCATGTAAATAGAGGTGGAGGAAAGACAATAAAATAAAAAAATTAACTTTTATGGCGAAACCAAGAAAAAGAGAAAAGAAAATGCACATGACATAAATATCCACATCAGTATCATATTTTTTCAAATCCAAGCAAAATGCAACGAAAACCGAAGTCCATGTCACATCACTTAGATCAATCAGATTCGATGTATCATATTTTATATTAAATATAATTTTAAATATTACATAAATAATTTGATACGAATGTGATACAAATATTTAAATGATATGAATAATTTAAATATGAATATAATATATTTATTATATGTATTATATGTGATATGATATGATTAATACATTTAAAATTAATTTATACCCAAATAACGTAACATGATACAATTAACGTGATTATATACAAATAATACAATTAGATAGGATTAATTACCTAAATAATATGACATGACATGGGACAATTAATGTGATTATATACGAATAATACGATTAGATACTATTAATCCATTTATTTAAACAAAAATAATTTAAATTAATATTTAAATAAAAAATTATTTAAAATTTGAATATTTATAATCTATTTAAATATTAAAATGATTTGAGAAATATGATCATTAATTTATTTTTAAATAAATTAAAATAATTTTCAAAATTCTTTATGTTATGAATAGTACTGTATATTAAACATGTCATTATTGTTTGACATGAACACAACATGAATAATGTCATGTCTTAATCGTATTGATACGATTAAAACACAAAATATAATAACACTAATAGTATGTTTGGATTGAGGTAAGGGGAGGGAAATGAAAGTAATGGAAAGGAAACAAAAGGAAATGGGGAATCTTTTCCTTTGTTTGTATATGATATAAACAAAAATAAAGAAAAAGAAGGTATGCTTAAGTCCCCCTTGTTTCCCTTTTAACTTTTTCCATTTTTTAATTATCTCAAATTGGGAGAAAAAGAAAAAAAAGAAAAGAATAAAATTTTTAAAATATAAAATGACTATTCTATCTTTATTAATTTTTCTAAATTAAAAGTAAATGATTTTGAACTCCAAAATTATATTAAGAATATAAACATCATTTATCAATAAATTTTTTATCTCTAATTTTTTTCTCTTATTTTTATGAGTTTCATAAATTTCATTGATAACTATTTTTATAAAAAAATAAAGAAAAATTGAAAACATAAAATACGGTAACATAAATATGTAAATGTTATTGTAAAAACAAATGTTATTAAAGGATATAATCGAAAAAAATAATATAGTAAATCATTTCCTTTCATTTTCATTATTTAACCAAACAATGATTGTTAAGAATTTTTTAGTTTTTTTTATTAATTTTAACTATCTAAACAAAAAGTACATATATCATTTACTTTTCTTTAAATAACATTCTTTTCTTTTACTTTACTTTACTTTTCTTTCTATAACTAATGTTTATCCAAATATAATGTAAATTCATATACGAATTTTTTCATATCGTTTTAAAATAATATTATTTTATTGTGTTTAAAATTAATATATTTATCAATAACTACATCAGCAAATTTAATGAAATAAATTTAATAATTATTAATTGAATTGATATTGTCAACTTAAGATAATAACATTAATTTTTTTTTATGAATTATATCGGAGAGATTTAATATCAAAATTTGAATGAATACAAAAGTTAATGGCATAATTTGACTTAAATTTTGGATTTTAACTTACTAACAATTCGTTTTAATTGTCTTGGGTGGAAAAAAAAAATTGGAGAAACCCGTTTATGGCATTCTCGTGTAACTTCTAGAAGATGTCGTTTCTCAAAAAGGCCCATTAAAACGGGTAATTAGCTTAAGCCCAAAAAGCTCGGATGACATGTGACCCGACGAATCTCAGCCGTTCATATCTGTAAGCCTGAAAGAAAAACCCTAAATTCCTAAAGGGTGAAACCCTACGCGGCTACGCCCACTTCTCTTTATAAACCCTCCTCCTCATTCTTTTCTTCTCAACATGCGTCGATTTATTTATTTATTTATATTTATGGGCATTTTTTTATCTTTTTAAATAAGTTAGTAATAGTTTGATGGAAATAAAATTTCCTCGATGATGATAAATCCAAAGGCTTGTTTCTCAAAGACATTCGCAGTGGCCGCCTGAGAGCTTTCGCCTTTCGCCGGGCTTGAGAGCTTCTGCTGTTTCACTCCTTCCTTGGATGTCTGAGACTCTTTTCAAAAAATTTTTTGATGGCTGTAATTTATTCTGTAAGTTTCTTTGAATTGGGATTTTGGGTGTTGTGAAATTTGTTTGCAAGTAGTTGGTGTCGGCTGCATTACCGACTTGGGTAATGTCATGTGTTGAACAATGTTTTACATTAATTTTGATGATTTAACTTTTATGTTCATTTAAAGTTAAAAGTGTTGTTAAGGTCAATGATGGCAACTTTGAAGGCATGTTTCTCAAAACATTCGTAGTGGCCGTCTAAGAGCTTTCGCCTTCACCGGGCTTGAGAGCTTGTGCTACTTCAATCCTTCCTTGGATGTCAGAGACCTTGTAAGACACATAAATCAGTGTTTCTGCTATGTTGTTGTGTTCGAAAATGTTGTTATTTTACTTTATGTTCCTTTTTTGTTGTCTGGTAATATTAATACTCTTCTCACTTGATACTCTCATTTGAATGATCTTCTCATAGTTAGGTTGATGATGACAAATCCAAAGGCTTGTTTCTCAAAACATTCGCAGTGGCCGCCTAAGAGCTTTCGCCTTCGCCAGGCTTGAGAGCTTGTGCTGCTTCAATCCTTCCTTGGATGTCTGAAACTTTGAACATAATTTTTGTTTCTAATTGTTGATAATCACAATCATTTTATACTGTCTTCACTCTCACCGTTGCGGATCTGATTTTGGAATTTGGATTGTATTCTGTTTGTTTATCAGTCTGTCCTATAAGCTGAAAGTGCAGCTTTAAAGAGCTTTGCTCTGGATTCTCGTGGCTTGGACTGTCACTTTGATGCAAACTTAACTGAAAATGTCTGTCCATAAATGTTATTTTATTGTTTTTTTCGTGTAAATTTATTATTTATTATATTATAAATTTATTAAAAGTGGTTGATTTAATCGATATTTTTTTTTATAAAAAATAATTTTAAGTATAAATTTTATCGATAATTAATTATTGAGATTATTTTGAATATATAATTTATAATTATTTATTTTAAGCTGATAAATATAATATATATATTATTATTTTTTTGTATGTCTCCTCGTCACAAAATCGGATGGACAAAAGGTGTCCACCACTTAGCATTTTCCCCTTTTTGAAGGATAATTCCTCAAATTTTCATAATTTTAACGAATGCACAAGAGACAAGAAGGGGAAATTATATGGATTCATCAGGTTTTGTTTTCTGTAAAATGCTTGTTCTTTTCCATAAATTAGATCAATGATTTTGGAGTAATACAAATCAAAATAGCTATCCACACTAGAAACCCTATTAATGCAATAACACATGAATTGCCTAATTAGATGATTAAGTAGAGGCAATTAGAAAGCCTTCTACTCTGAAAATTAAAAAGAAAAACATACAGCTTCATTGGATTTGCTATCATCTGACCATCTTTATTTTGTTTCTCATATAATCTTCTTAGCTCCAGCTCTATAAAGAATTGGCTCCCACCGACTCAAATAACCGTAGAAATTAAATGAAATCTTAAGATGAAACAAACCAGACAGAAAAAAAAAAGAGTGAAATTTCAAATTTTATGCTACCTAAGTAGCATCAAGATTCAAGAGCAGTGTGATTCAGTATCAAACGAGGCAAAACAAAATATATTGTAAAGCATCCTATTTTGTACCTGCATTTTAGTTTCTGTCGTCACTCTTAATAAGCAATATTTAACGAATTCAAATATCAAACACTAAAAACAGAAAGGGAAAATTTCATAATTCAATCAGGGATGTTTATAAAACTAAATTGGGTTCGCATTGTATCTATAAACAAATGTGGACTACGATAAAACAATCACTATACTTGCTTCAAAAAAAAAAAAATCATTATACTAGTGTTTCTTCCTTCAAAATTCTATAGGCAAGGATAACTTGCTGATCTTTTGGACTCCAATTCTATCACCACTTGTGTTCTGTAATTGTCAACCCTCTGCACCTTTACTCCAGCCAAAGGAACTCAGCCTTGGAAGAAATTTGTAACAAGCACACTGCCTGTTGGGTTGGTGCTCCAAGTCTAAGCATCGTCAGCTTCAGGGCGTTGGGATATCTTGAGAAGGTTACCACCGATTTCTCGGTCATCTTCTACTTTTTCTCGTCGGTTTCCATCTGAATCACCTCTTTCATTTTCTTGTACATAAGCATGGAAATTGTTGCTTGAAGGCTTTATCTTGGAACAGAGTACTTCTTCGAAGTTTTTCAAGCAGCCACGGTCATATATACGGGGCCTTTCAACTCCTCCATACCGAAATGTCTCATATGTGGTCTACACAAATAAATACAGAATTAGAACATTCTTTATAACGGAGAGACATATATATATATATATATATATATATAATGTAAGTAACCAAAATAACCTATTACAAACTCTTCCTAGAAGTTGAAAATCTGGAAATGGTTAACCGCATCTCCTAGCAATTTTAAGCTTTACATGTTGATGCGAAATGAAAATGAAATAAAAAAAGATAAAATCAATACAATTTAAAATTTTAGCAATAAACATATGAGTTTGATAAAAATAAAAAAAATATATTTTGTGTTTGGCATGTGTAACAGCATGATTTACACATGTTAAACATAAAATAAACAGACATGAATACACAAGATCTCATCTCCCTTCCCTGTTTTCCCCTGATCTCCCATATACATCAAAAGACCCTAGGGCGAATTTGATATGTTTCCAAGGTCTATATTTTTTTCCAAAAGAAAATTCAAGTAGGCTAAAAAGTTTGTAGCTTGGCTTTCTAGACATGGTTGGCTGGTAACATTTATACAAACAACAGGAAGCTAAAAGCTGCATTTCAAACTGCCGGACCGCTACCACTTAACATAAAGAACAAAATGGCAGTAACACTCTCCACACTCCAGAAAAGATATAAGGAAATTGACCTGGTTTGTGCCGATAAGATACAAGTGGAAGCAGGTAAGCCCTCCAACAAACCAAAGGAAAATGAAGCAGTAAACCATTAGTACCACCGAAAGTGGTGACTCTTTCATTGCCTTCCAGAATGTTCCATAGTCATCCATGAGGAATTTTATGTTCAAAGCAGACATTGCAAAGATGAAGATGCAGAGGACAGTTGAAGAAGAAATGAACAGAAAGAATGACTTGTAGTTGCGCTGCATATAAATAGAAAGTTCTTGGTTTATTTTCATCCAATATAAAAAAAAATACTGATTTCAGCAAGCAAATAGTCCAGTATGTAAAAAAAAGGAGAAAAGCTTGATTGACATACCATTCCAATGCACTGGCCTACCCAAGGACAATGGTGGTCAAATCGCTCCACGCAGTTATCACATATAGAGCAATGTGAGCAACGAGGTGGACGATACAACAGGCATGTGCTACAATATTTCACCCTCACTGGCACACCATTGACAACAACTACTTTTGTGGGGTGTACTCGTGGGGTTGGTGTTTGTCTCCCAACATCAATTGAAGCTGAAGAATCGTAACATATCTCTTCTGTTAGTGGATGTAAGTTGCGAGGAACAATACCAGGATCTCGGGCGGATGTAAGAAGAAGTAGCAGTAACACCTATCATAACCAACCAAGGAATTACAATTCACAAGTTGTGCTTCCAAGCAAAAAGGGAGGGATAAGAACAGAAAACAATGATAACAGTCTAACACATGGTCGTATAAATAAAAGGTCATAGCACACGCGCACAAAATGAAATTGCTAAAAAGGGGAGAGCTGAATCAAGCAAGAACTCGTTTTCTTTAAAAATGGTTGGAGGATATATTAAAAATGCTATTCCTGGTTTAATTTTTCAGGCACAAATTAACAACAAAATTAAACTGCAAGGCTTTAATGATGTTTAATAAACACAAAGGGTTTTATTAAAGGAACTAACATAGGTTGTGAAAACAACTGTCACCATTAGAATTGCATAGCCAGCAATATTTCCTGAAATTTCATCGATGAGGTTCCTTGCAACATTTGTACAAAAGATAATAACAGGAACAATGATAAGCAGTAAGGTAATGATCAGTGACCTAGCATCTGGACCGAATATCAATCTCCCCCCAAACATAAATATCTGCAAAGGTGAATGCAATATAAGAAATATATTCAGGAAAAGTTCATAAATTAGATTAATACTGATAAACATAAAGAAAGGTTTCCAGGTAGACAGAAAAGCATATAAACATGTATGATTAAATATGTACGTACGTATATGTTATAAATAAATATAAAACATAAACAAATATGCATTCATATATTATATACATGAGTTGAAAATTTATAAGACAGGAAGGCACTGTAATGTAGGATACAGGATTGTCATTTTGCATAATAAGGATAAGATTAATGGTTGAACAAATTAGAGAAATATCAATAGTGTGTCTGTGTCTGTGCGTCTGTTTGTCTGGGCTTATAGTTTACTAGCTAGTCCAGTAGCGACATGCTGCATTTACAAGTTCACCTCCAGCCCAAGGGAAAATTTCCTTTCAAGATCCAATCATTTCAGCTTTCTTTTAAACTTTCTATCATAGTATTTAGATTTCACTAATGTTCTTAAGCCCATGGTGATGTAAATACTTTCATAATATTTAGAATGTGCTAAAAATTATATTTGGTGTACAAGATTAAGATAAGAATATAAGTTTATAGATATGATTAGATTAAATTATATTATCTTATGTTATGTTTGGTGTGTGCAGGGATTAAAAATAAGATAAAATATTATTTTACCATTTATCACGTTTGTTATGTGTAAGATTAAGATTAAGATACGATGATTTTTTTTTATTAATCAAAATTATCTTTTATATACTAATTTGAATTTAATGTAGTCACAAGTGATATAATTTCTCAATTATTTTTTTAGAGATCATCTATCAATTAATTAAAATTGTCCAAATACCTTTTTAATTGATAAATTCCTTCAATAATTTTGACTAAAAAATACTCATAATAAACAAATAGATACATCAAATAAATAATAAATAAATATAAATTCAAATGGAATTATATATTATTTTATATTAAAAAGCTTATAACTTACAGTTTAAAAAATATTAAAGTTTGAATTACATATTACTTGATAGTTTAAAAAAATCAAAGTTTGACTTTTATGTATTCACTCTCCATTGATGGAGAGTGAAGAATATTGGAGAGTAGAGAAATTTTTAAATATTTGATAATTTAAATTTAAGGGTAAAATAAAAAATTTATTATTTAAAAATTATAATAAATTATTTAATCTTATGGATTGAAAACAATCCCCTATTTTTTCAAAAGATAAAGTTATCTTATTGGTATAAGATGTCTAATATTTTCAATAATTTAATTATTTTATTTAAGTACATAACAAACACTTGGTAAGATAATTAGCATCCTATCCTTTAACTAATCTTATGTACCAATCTTAAATTAATACTTTGCCTTGAGTGGCATTCTTTCAACTTAATAACTTAATGCATTCACCGGGGGGGGGGGGGGGGAAGTGGAGAGAGAGAGAGACTAAAGAGAAAATATTAGTAATATGGACATGAAGACATCATTACGTTTTAAAGTTGTAAAAATTCTTCATTGACGATAAGTTACGAGTGCAAAACATGTTTCATGGTCTTAATTTGTTAGTTCTCGACTCCCATACTTGCCTCTCCTTTTCCCTCTTCCTTGCTTCGGTAGGTTCCCACTTTTGCACCCTTTCTCTATTCAATATCTGAAAATTGATTCTAGGAATGATCTTAACCCAATTTTACTTTTTTCCCAATCAGAACAATCAAATAAGTACATTTCCTAGAATCTTCCTTCAAACTATTGCATCCAAGGCATTGGCAGAGCATAAAAGGGAAGTTGAAAAAAAAAAAATGAAATGCCTTTAACAGGCAAAAAGGACATTGAATCTACTTGAAAAGAAAAAAAAAAGGGTAAAATTGGTTCTTACCCTAAACCAAGTAAACAACTAATCTAGTAGATCTACAGTAGTTGGCTAGGAAGTGCTGATCCTGAGAACCCCCGAGTCCTATATCATTACCGAATATGTTTCCAACCCCAAAGAAAAGCATTTACAATTTGGTAGCAAGAAATTAGGTTCTCTCCCTTTGTCAGTACCATTACCTTTACTTCCTTCTAAAGATGCTAATTATGAGCACAAGTTGTCTAGTAGGAAATTGCCGGTCTATCTAATTGTTTTCCCTCTTTCAAATGGCAGTGAAGGGGCAGGGCACCTATTATTCCCCTGATGCACAATCACAAATCATGTCTGAAGAATATGTTTCAGGCAGAATACTGAGGTGGGAAGCGGTCAGCTCTATTTAAGTACCGAAAGTTGGACTTGGGATTTTTTTAGAGTGTTTCTTATTACAAATTGCTCTTATGAAGTTAGACTGACATAGGACACTTCTATGAAGTTACACTTGCAGTTACATTTTCATGTAAGTATGATTGTTTTCACTTGTTTAGGTTCTCTTTCAGAATTTTACCAGGGGTAATACATAGTGATAGATGGTTGGGGATTTCATAGGATTCAAATACCAATGCATTCATGCTAATCTTCGATATTCATCCCATTATCTCATTTACTAGAAAAATATAAGAACTCAAGTCATCTACGTGCTAGCTAGACTTTCTAATACAGACATATGGTATGGATAAATTTTGATTATCCAAGAGAAAAATTGAATTAAATTCAAATTTCAACCTTTCTAAACTTTCTCAGAAACCAAACAATTTCTCTTGGATATACAAAAGACAAACTGAGTCGTACGTAGCAAACCTTTTTTGTTCCATATCAACCCAACAATTTCTTTTCTATGACCCATCATTAAATCAAACTCATCATCAACAAAAGAAAAAGAATGAAACCACCACAGCTGACTAGGAAAAAAAAATGCTAGAAACTAACATGAACTCCATTAAATCAGCAAAGACAAATTAATCTAACTCAAATGCAAAAATAAGCATCAAGAAGCAGAGAGGTGAAACATAGAGTTGGCAAAGAAAGCATACATTTTTGCCCTTCCAAACTTCATACTGACGTTTAGCCATTAAGGAAAGGAATGTTTTCACTTGAACTGTCACCCAGTTGAGCAGATAAAGAGACGAATATTTGAAACTTGGTTTTAACCATTTCTTTTGTAAATAGAGAGAAGAAAACAGGCGGTTCCTGGTTCAAAATGAGCTGGAAAGAATGATGGGTTTTTGTGGAATTTTAAAGCTTTGCTTTTGCCTACTTTTCTTTTTATTATTTCTAGAAATATTCTTTGGGTTTGGTTTGAGTGACTGAAATAACCTAGTCTTTGAGGATTATTTCATAAGGTTTCCAAGGGTAGTTTGGGGAATGATCCACCAAATGTAGGGTAAAGCAAAAGGAGTTGATTTCTTGCTGGACCGGCAAAGGGACAAATTGAATTTCAATAGTGCCAAAAAGTTGGTCTAACATGCACACTTTGATGGTTCCGATAACAATCTTTTCTTCTATAACAACAAGGGATTGCATGCAAGTGAAAGTATAACCTCACCCTTAATTCATTCACTCACTTAACAAGTTTTACCTTAGAATTTTTTAGTTTATGTAATAAGTAACAAGTTAATTATATATATGGATGTTAACTTTTTGTGAAAGCAGTCATTCCTATTTTCTGTAAATGTGATCATGTAAATATAATGGAAATATCTTATGTTTTTGTCTTTAGTCAAGAAAGAAAATCGAAACTTGAAAAGATGATCAGTAGGATAAAGCAAGAATGGTAGGGCAGAAATTCATACACTTGCTATTAACTCCATGAACCCGAGGCATATTGACCGGTTCCTAAAACCACAGAAGGGATTTTATTTTATTTTTTTATAACATATATGAATACAGTAGCCGCAGCCGACTAAGAAACATGCATCTATTTCCTTTTCTTATCCCAGCCAGTTCCAAATATTAATGCTGACTCATGCATACTCTATAAATTTCTTTAAACTTGTAAATCTATCTCTCTTTCCTTTTGACTGAATTCAAGATTCATCATGTGTGGATTTAATAATAACTTAATTTGAATATGGGATCATAATAATATCTCTCAATCATTGGCTATTCATTATTTTTTTATTCAGCATGAATGGGGTTTTTTTTTATGCATATATATTTTTGGAATCAATTCAAATAGGTTTATCTATGTCAGATCTAATGAATTTACGAAAAATTATTTTTTCACAATCTTGCAATGAATTTGAACTCAAATAATAATAATAAAAAAATATTCTCTTTAACCATTTGAGCCATTATCTTTATTTTAGTTGTATTTTTGCTGATTCTATGTTCATTCCATCTCAACGTAATCACTAACGAGATGTCATAATGGGTGACTCTTTTCTGAAAAAAAAAAAAAGGGTAATGTACATATATACATACATCCATATGATGTGTGTATGTGAAAAAAAAATCTGAAAGAAAAAAAGAGAGGCCTTTAAATCTTGTATCCTGACTCTCGACAAGCGTTGGGTCCATAAATTGATATGTTTTCAAACTTTTTCTTTTGTTTTTGGTAGAGAAGTATGTGTATTGAATGTGCATAACATGTTGCCCGCATTTCAACAGTTGCTGGGGCAAATTAAATGTGCATAACATGTGGCCTGCATTAATGGTCCCCCAAGACATAGATCAGACACAAAAGACCGTTGGAAGACGCTAATGGCCAGAATGCCTAAGAGATTATAAAACCACCAGATGAAAAGTGCAACATCAATCTTGCTAATATAGCTATGCCTTCACAAGAAGAAAATGCCACAGATTTCTTTTAGGGCGAACTTATGGTCTTGGGTTTAATTACACAACGAGAGCTAATTAGTCCGACACCTCTGAGTTAAAGTTTCGAGTTCTTCACTGTAAAGGTGTTTCATTGGGGACAGATATAAGATGCCATAGATGTGGAAAATATTTTTTTCTCTACCTTTATATATGGTAGATTGTAGTTTTTTTCCTCATTCTTTTATCTGGTTCATGTGACCTTCTGAACATACAAACCAAAATTTATGCTATATATGTTTGGGATGAGATAAAATTAAAGAAAGAAGATTGAAGAAAACTATTTTTTACCTATATATTTGGAAGGAACCGATTCTGGAAGGAAAGAAAATAAGGGAGAGAGTCATGCAAAAATTTTCTTTGCCTCGTCTTTCCCCCTCCATTTCGTTTTGTTTCCCTGGTAGTCCCCAGACGTAATTATACGTCAGTTTGGGAAAAACTAGTCAGTCTAGGAAGCTGTTAATCAAATTTTTGGCTTACTTCATCTAAACTAAATCAAAGTTTAGAGTCGAGTGAAAAAAAAAAAGAAAAAAAAGAATGCAAAGAGATTACACATACTTTTTCCAAATGAACTTTCATCATTAACCATTTCAGTGGCAAGGCTCACATTCCATTTCATATCAATCAAATGCTATGTTTTTCTTTGTCGTGTAGCAAACAGTTTGAATATGATTAAAAGTATATCTGAAATTGATAGTTTAAACCATGAAAATATTCCTTCCGGCTAGAAAAAACTACACGATCATAACAGTTCTGCATTAAATTTTCTATGCAGTGAAAGCAAAGTTGTTTTGTAACTAATTTTCATTTGTGAGATCTTTTGTTTATTGCAATGGGCCGGGTGTTATTGTTTACTGCGATCTCTAAGCATAACTCTTGGGAGTCCAGTTACTTTTATTTCTCTGAATTTGTCTTAAGACAAGGGTTTTCCAACTTGGTATCATTAGTAATTAACCTGATTCAAAACTAATCATACAATTTCATGCAGCAGAATTTATGAAAACTTGGGCTCTGTCTTTTGTTTATTTGCTGCTTTATACATATTTTTCATGCAAAAAAAAAAAAAAAAAAACAAAGTTTTAATTTTGGTCACTCTTGCTGCTGTTGCACCAATATATTTCAGTTGAGGAAGCAGCCTGGTAGATTGATATTTAGTTTAATGATGTTTATGGATCCATTACTTAGACTGATATATAATCCAAGGCTTCTCTATAGCATGTGAAGTTTTGAACAGCTATTGAAAACTTTCATGACCTTTATTTACTAGAAATTGCATGAACCCTAGAGAGTATGTGCATAGATATAAACATATATACCAATCCTTGTTTCTGATGATATTTGTAAATCATTTCTTTCATTGCTTTATCCTTCCAACTATGTATAAATGTAGGCACTCAAATATAAAAGTAGGATTAAGGAAAAAAAAAAAAGACTAAATTCTAACTAGTGCTTGTTTTACAAAATTTTGGTAATCAGTTATGGACTGGAGGCTTCCTTGTTGCTGGAGTGTAGTCCATCGTTACTAATTCATCAACATTAATGTTGGGTGCTCCATCTTCTTTTGCTGTAAGCACCTGAGCACCATGGACTTTCTGAGTTTCCTTGGCCACCGGAATATTTCGTGCTGAAACACACACAAAAAAAAAAAAAAGTTAAGAAACTCCTTCACAATCAAATTTCTAATATTGAACTTATTAACAGATTAGAGATACTCAATTGGAGATTCAAGATTTACCTCTAGCAGTTGTAGAGACGAAGAAAAAGAGGAAAAAAGTAACAAGAAGAAGCGGATGCTTGTAAGGAATCCTAGCCATCTTAGTATTTTTCTTTTTTTTTGGGTATGCAATTTATTTCAATCTCTTTGCTGTGCACAACATGTTCAAGTTGCCTCTCTTATATAGAAGCAAACTACATACATGGATCGACAAGTGGTGCATTAATTGAAAATGACATCAAATTTTGCAGTAACTCTACGTGAAATGTGGTTTCTTAGAGTCAACATCAATGTCTCCTGCTGTCTTTTGCATGAAAATGCTAGCATAAGGCTCATAAAAGAAAACTCCAGTTTACAATTAAAAGTACTGAAGGTCTCGTTTGGACTATTATGGTTAATAAGTTAGTAACTTTGTATCCTCATAATTGAAAGCTAAAAGGGGGGGGGGGGGGGGAGTAATAAAATTCCAAGGAGGATTGCAATATTTATATTGTACATTCATCTCAATGATAAGTGTATATGAATGAGTGGGAGGGATGAAGAAAATTCCCATGTTTTACCTTTATTGCTCAAATCGATTGCCAAAAAAAAAAAAAAAAAACCTTTATTGCTCAAATCATTAATGTATGAGTGGGAGAGTTGATAATTAAAAGCATCGTTCACCAATTAATCTTAAGCAAATATTGGAAAGAACAGCATATTTTGTTATTTAATATGCTTTGAAGCAAAAGATTATCAGATGCTAGAAATTTTATCAACTCATCAGCTACAGACCAGATAACAAAATCAACCTCTGCGAGCCTTCTGTTCTTCTAGTTAATATTGAGGTTTATAACTTCAGAGAGAAATAACTACATCAAATATTGGTATATCATATGAAACTTTGCTCTATTTTTCTCTGCTTTTTTATCTCATCTTTTCAATTTTGCTTTGCTCAACTTGCATCAAGAAATAGTGACCAGGGAACAGTTTCTAGCACGACGGATTTGTGGACCTAATTTTCCTATATACCTAAGTGCAACACTAATTAATGACCCTGCTTTGCCAAAGGACTAGCAGATTTTATAAACAAAACAGAAACATAGCAATTGCCAATGTTCATGCACTACTATAACATGATAAGGTAAGAAGATCCTCGGGGAAAAATTATACATTGCTGCCTAGTGATCAACGTCCTGTTTTTAGTGATTAGATCGTGATTTTGCTAATTAATCATACCGAAAAACAACTAATTAATTCATAGAGGGAGAAAATCAACACCGGGTGGGGCAGCAATAATTTTCAGATAGGGTGATCGACATATTCATGTTCAAAAAATCACGTGAAGGGAGCTCAAAATTATCAGCTGAAGGGTCCTCCTTGTCCGCGAAATGATGAACATATACTAAACATGATTTATACGTCCGATTAGGTCCTTGAAATGGAGGGGTTTTGAGGCACGCTAACATCGGCTATTACCAGAAGAGCAAAAAAAAATTACTACGTCTCTTCTAAGAATATATATGCTTTTCTAGGACTCTATGAAGAATATACTTGCTTTCCTGCCGATGGTAACATGGTCTGTTGTGCTCAGTTCTTAATTTCAGTAATTAAAATTCAATCACTGATAGCTTCACTTATCAAAATATATATGCTTTCAAGGAACAACTGCACATTAATTAGATTATTTCCATGTTCTTTTCAGGCTTTATTGTTATAATGAAACAAAATTTTGTTAATCTCTTTACTGATCTTCCTAATCCTTTTTATTTTGATGGATTGGATCCTAATAAAGAATTAATAGAATCCCTCTTTCTTGGAAGCTGCTTGACAATTCAAAGTTATGGTTTATCTTTCAAATTGGAAGTGATGGCTCTGGTCTAGCCCTATCATTTTGAGCCCACATGGGTGGTGTCATGGGCAGACCTTGGTGTGCTGCAACACACGGTCCGTGACACCTGGTGTGTAACAAGACCAAATTCAGGCAGCTCAGGGTGAAACCTCCAGCACCAAAAACTTTGAAAATATAGCTTTGTAATTTCTCCTACAACTTGAGGGCCCTGAATGATGCACGAAACCTACCAATTTTAACCATCCAATTCAAATACAGATTTTTGAGATATGATATTTAAATTTTACCTAATACAACACGTTTCTTGATTTTATTTCCTAGTAGGCAGCAGATGACACATTGATCAACAGCAGCCAGCAACTCACTTCATTATTGAAGTATAAATCATTGAAAGATTTAAAAAAATAATTTCATCGGACTTTTCTTCCTTTATCTAAGCATATACTCTATTATTTATATATAAAAGTGTTAACTCCAAAAGTGTTAATAGTAATTAACCTAAATATTTTTATAAATTTTAAAATTAATAAATTTATCCTTAAATATATAATTTTTATTAATTTTTTAAGTTTAATTTAAATCAACTAAAATTAAAAATAAAGTTTATATAAAATTAAATTATTTAAAATTTAAAATTTTAATTCCAAAAATGTTAAAAGTGATTGGTTAAAATATCTTTAGCAAATATTTTTATAAATTTTAATTTATATGAATTTTTTTATTATTAGATTTTTTTTAATAATTAAAATAAAAAAGTGCTAAAAATGATTGATCAAAATATTCTTAATAAAATTTTAATTTAAAAATGGTGATTGATTAAAACATCATTAGTAGTTTTTATAAATTTTAATTTAAATGGTTTTGTAATTGTTATTTCTATAGATAAAAATTAATATCTAATCGAATGCAAATAAATTACATCCATTCACCAACAATTAGCAATATGTGATACATTAAATACTTTAATTGGACTTTTCATCGATAGAATTAAATGATTTAGGAGGTGTTGAAGCTACATGATTAGGTTCCGTTAAATTGTTATAAGAATTATTCACTTTAATTGAAATAATAATTGATTTAATTTTTTCTCAATTTTATCTTAATATGTATATATATGATTAATTTATATTTCAAAATTATATAATCTTTTGCAATTATATTAAAGTAATCGTATTATGAAAATGGATGTTCATTTACATATACACAGCTTCCTCAAATCTAAGAGAAAATGAAGGTAAAAGTTGATTCATGTAATCATAATTGTATCTAATAGATTTAGAGTTTAAATTTTAACAATTGTAGCCAAATTCCTTATTTTTATTCTGCAACTTTCTTTGAAAGTGAAAAGGAAATTAAATAACTAGTCATGGCAATTTTTTTTTTCTATACATAATTATAAGAATCTTTACTTGTTAATAATCCAATATCATGAGATAAAAATGGGTTAGTCCACCAAGGTCCATGTGCAGTGTATCTGATTCGGCGTATATTTGATGAAAAAACAATTATTAAACTTTCAATCATGTAGAAATGAAAGTAAGGAATCAGAAGTAGAATTATTATTAAAAAATTATGATAAGATCATAAATAGCTTTCCCCATAGTTGACTTGAAAGGAAAAAAACAACTCAATATTTTTGTATTTCTTGGCGTGCTAAGATTTAAAAAGCTCAACATCTGGTCCAGCTCAGGCAGTGATTAAACAAGCTAGCAATGCTTCAAATCAAAAGGGTTGGTATGTCAAAGGAGACAATATAAATGTGATCGGGGCTACCTTGTGCCCCAAACCATGACAACCTCTAGATGGGTGGATAGTGACCATGGATGTCTTTTACTCCTAACCGAATTCCTTCTCGATCGATAGACCTGCTCCCTAGCTAGGGCCACCACCACCCTTTCTCAGCTCTCATGATGCGTGTGGAATCGAACCTCATCCGGTTCAACCGTCGGCCATGAGGTGCTGGCAGGCCAAAGCAGGCATGAATAGACAGAAAAGTCACATAAAAAATCCTTTAAAACAGGTGATTATTTCATTTATGTTGTGGCCTGGCATGAACTGAGATGCAAAAGAGTTCTTTTCTTCTTCTTCTTCTTTTTCTTTTTAATGATTTTTAGATCAAAATTGTGGTACCAAAACTTGATAGCAATCACAATACGTTACGTTTATGAATTTCAATATGATATATATAATTCAATTGATGCAAAGAACTTAGTTATCAAATTTTGTTTGATCGGCTTTGGATTAATAGTACGAAATTGTATGCATAAGTAACTTGGTAAAATCATTCACAGTGAAATTTGGAGTGTTGAGACGAAGGATAAGGGCGGGTGCATAATCACGTGTATGTGTTGGATCATGGATGTAAGGGCGGTGGACAACGGCAAGTAGCAAGAAGTAACTAAGTAGGTGCGGAATGGGCGTCTTGCGTCGTTTTCCTTTCTCTCCCGCCACCTTTGACAAATCGTCTCACATTCCGTGAATGAATGTCCATCCAACACCTCATTCATCAGTTTCTTCAACTCAACATCTGTCATTAAAATCACTTGGGTAAGATTTCTTTATCATTTTAGATTGAACATTTTTTTTTTTTGCTTATTGAACTAAAATACTCAACTTTTTTAATAGATAAAAAAAATTATATATACATAATGATCGTACAAATTTTATATATACGTAAAATTTTGATAACATAAGAATTAAATTAAACAAAAAAAAATTTAATAGATAATATTCGACAAACTTAAAATTCAAATTTTAACACTTACAATCTTTTTTATTACCAAGCTATATATAACTTTTTTTATAAAAAAATAAAACTTAAAACAAAAAAAAAAATCTAACTGACATATGCTTTAATCTACAGTTTTCTAAATTGTGGACACATGGCAACTTTCCAAAGCACAAGACAGAACCCTCTTTTAGTCTTAGCTCTTTTGGGTTCCATTACTGCTACTGAATTGGGTGCCCCAAACGTTCCTACGGTTCAACCCCAAGATGAGATCCGAACATCAATAATAATCATAGTAATAGTTAGAGAAGAACGAGAGCTAATAAAGTGATTAGAAAAAAAAGAAAGTATTTAATTATATATTAGGTGCAAACGAACTCTAATTAAAAAGATAAGTGTAGGTTTTTAAATTTATGAAGTTTAGGGGAGGGTTTAACCATGTTTAATCACCTTTGTGGTGTTAATTCATAAGTGACTCTGATGATGATGATGGGTTTGCTTTGAGGACAGTTTGTATAAGCTCTGTACGGGAGTGAAGATGAGACTGTGGGATACCAACTCTGTTCAGGTTGTGCTTAA